GAAATCATACCTGATTTTCGCTCTCATCAGCCCAGCACATGGCACAGATTTCGTGGCTTCTATCCACTTTTGATGCAACGCCATGGTTTGTGAATGACGACTTCTTCAGATCAATTCCTGAGATTCACGCAGAACAATCAACACAAATATCTAATACCGAGTTCAAATGGTTTAAGTATTTTTCTGCTAGCATAATTATTGTTTCAAATAGATTTTTAATCTGTATGTAAGACTTGAACAGTAGAGGTGCTGTGACTCGTGAGATAAATTAAACAAAGTTTCTGTTAAAATGGATAAGCCAAAAACAGCATCACATTCATTCCAAAAAAAAAGTGCAAGAAATCATCCTGCCTCTTTTCTCAGAGTGGACATAACGGTTCGATAGCAGTCACAATTCTCTTACCTTTTAAAAATCCAACTTCGCTTCCGACCCAAACGTCCGCCATGCTGGAAATTCACGGTCTAGAGGTCTGAGAACCATCAAAGATTACAAGGAACCATGGGTAGCTAGGGCCAGTTCTTCTCCTCCGTTTTGAACGCCTGTGGGAAATCTGTACCGGTAATGGAGTAGGAAAATCAACGGCAATGGATTTCAAAATGGTTGTCTTAGTGCTTTGCTCCGTATTTATAGGATGTTTTGTGCGAGATAGCCATCAATCAGATCCCTCACGTCTAAGGTTTGGATCGAAGACGCCTTATCAAAGGAGAGAGATTGCTTTCGAAGGACCGAAAAATTGCGAACCACTTCACATCAGCATGGTGCTAAGACATGGGACACGATTTCCCAGCAAAAAAGATGTTGGAAAAATTGACAAAATGCTCAAAGTGGTAAATGAAGCCTTCAATTCCAGTACCCATATGCAAAAGCGGATTGGGGATTTGCACTTTCCTTGGAAAAATCCTTTTTCACACTTCCATGACAAACTACTGGCCACTTCTGGGGAACAAGAAATGTACTACATCGCCAAAGAAATGCTTAAACGTTTTCCCAGTTTATTATCGCTTCCTTATCATCCGAAAGACTTTGATTTTATCAGCACGGGAACTTCTCGGACGACACAAAGTGCAATGGCCTTTGCTTATGGTCTGTTTGAAGGACGCGGACGGTTGGGCACAGGCCTATTCCAACCTGTGGCGGTTCAGTCCAGAGACGTCAACAACGATCCCGTGCTCCGCTTTTTTGATCTTTGCCCAAAGTACGTAACTGAAGTAGCAGAAAACAAAACTGCGTTTCTTGAATTCAAGACGTTTAAACATGGTGAAGAAATGAAAACTGTTCTTCAAAAAGTATTGAGCAAAATGGGCATTCCTTCAGGTGTTATTTCAGAAGAGAGCTTAGTTGGCATGTATGTGGCTTGCATCTTTGAGGTCGCTATCTATGGCAGGGAAAATACTTGGTGTCAACTCTTTGATGATGAAGATTTGTTAGTTCTAGAATACCTGTTTGACTTAAAGCACTATTGGAAAAGAGGATATGGATATCCAATCAGCTATAAGATTGGTTGTCCTCTGTTACAAAACATAATCAGCTCCCTGAAAAATGCAACAGACCCTACATCAGAGGAGAAAAAGTATGGTACTTTTATGTTTGCTCATGCAGAGACATTGCAACCACTATACGCACTGCTTGGGTTATTCAAAGACCATGAAGATCTGAGAGCTGGTAACTTCCTCAAACAGCTTGAGCGCAAATACCGTACTAGTTACATTGTGCCTTTTGGAGCCAACATTGCATTTGTAATGTACAAATGCTCTGAAAGAGATACCAATTCATCTAAGGAATCAGAAGGCCTCAATCCTTGGCCATTTATTGTTCAAGTGTTTGTCAATGAGGAGTTGATTGGCCTGCCTTGTTGTGATGAACTAACAGAATGTCCCTTAGAAACATTTTTGCAGTGTTTTGACAGTAAGCCAAACATCTCTTGTAATCTATCATCTTTATGCAGTTTGGAAAGTGGTAGCCCTGAAAAATCTCGTACGGAATTGTAGGTAAAAGTAATGAGAAATTGTTAAAAGGACTGGGCTGGAACATGGGATGCGAAGACAAGGACACTTTTCCTTTACATACACAGTGGTGATCAGGTTAAATGGTCCAGGTTTGAGCCCTGGCCCTGGGAACGCCCACAGTCCTACCAGGAGTATAAACAGATAGAGGCCAATTGTATAAGAACCCTAACAAATTGCTGCTGTGGTTCGCAGAGGTAACCTGTGATTGTCTAGTATCCAATGCAAGACTAACAGCAATTCTACTACCTTCACATTACAGAGTCCACAGCACTTATGAGACCTTGGCACTCCCAGAGCACTTTGTCTGGAACAGATGTGAACCTTGCTATTTGGACTGATTCCTGCTGTTAATATGCACACATTCTACACATCACAAGATGGCTCAGCCAAAAGTGCAGGGGCCTTTTTGTCAGGCTTTTTTTTTTTTATCTCAGTGCCATTTATTTGGTTTAGTCTCAAGAAATACAGGATTTAATATTGTTCAGTGCACAAATTCTATGGTTAAAGACCACAACAGAAAAGCATAAAAAAGGTTGCTTTGCTGTGGGACTATGATACACAGAACACATGCAACCTAACAAAAGGAGGTACTGTCTTTAAATTCAGTTTCAGAAACCACTACAACTCAAGTGACATGAACTAGTGTGATTGATGCGTGTGATTGTTGCAATCTGTCACAGTCATGTCTAAACTATTATTGTGGGGATGTTTTATTTTTGACAGACCAAAATAAACCATTTTAACTTTTTATAAGACATCTATTTGCCTAGCTATTATTATTACTGTACAAACAAGAAAATTATTTATTGTGAACACCTCAATAGTGGGCAGCATTCTGTACATATTGTTACAAGCCTTGGTGTTCTTATGTGAATTTTTCAAAAACTTTTAATTATTGCAAAAATAAATTTAATTTTAAAACTGTAAGCTTAAAACTGTGGTCATTTCCCATCTGAATTACTGGAAGCCAATGCTAGCTGTCAGTGATTCCCAAATCTTCCTTTAACTGTTCTATCATCTCACACAAACGACTCTGAAAAGGAATAAAGACGAGATAGTGTTATAAAAAATCAAGACCAAAAATTGGTATAGAGCTATTTTCAATTGAGTATTGAAAGTCCAAAACCAAATTAGCCACTTAAGCCAATCACAAAGGACACAAAAAATGCAGTGAACCAGTCAAAACTGAAGTAAATAACCCAGGGGAGACTCCCATATAAAAAGGATGGTGGTGCTTGTCCGAAATTTTGAAAAGAATCCCTAAGAAGTACCAAGATCCTGTTTTGTGGGTGTGGTTTAAAAAAGTTTTTCACCCCCAAGAGATACCAATTCTAAAACAATACATTATTTCCGGTCATTTTTTTTTTTGGCACAGTACACTAAAAGGTACAGGAAAAGCTCTGGCTGTGGACCTTTTGAGGTTGAACACCCTTGGAGGTACCAAAACTACCACCTCCTACGTATGTGGAAGTCCCCCAACCCCGACCCCCCTTTGGGTAAACACATCTAGCTGATGCAAAGCAAGGAAAAAGATGTGCAAGCAAGTCACAATAAATTGGTCTTGGTTTTACTTCTGATTAGATGAAAAAGTGGCACAACTTTGTTAGTGCATAGTAATGCAAAACCGATTGCTTTAAACACTCAAGTGAAAACCCCTCTATCATACTAACAAACTTTTACCTAAATGCCAAATATACAAATATATCTTTTAGACTAATGCTCTACATTGGTGACTTTCTTTTTTTTGCAGAAATGGCTGGCTTCTACATAGCACAATAATTCTATCTTGTGAATATTTATGTGGTCATGGGTAATGCTGACATCTTCTACTCGTTGGTGTGTGCAAAGTAAAAGCTAAGGATTAGGAATAATTTGTAAGGTTCTTTGTTCTATGTTTTTGTTCGATTTTTTTGGCCTTGACCATGTACAAAAGTGAAAACACAATTACAGTTGTTTTCATGTACTTCTGACTAAGGAACTAACCAACAGAAACGTTTTAGTTACATAATTCATGCATGGTGTATGAACTTGTACAAAGCAAAAGATTGTGCATGGTTGTGGACCTTCCAACATAAATCATGACATCATTTTTGTTCTCTTGTGTTTGCTGGGCTTCATAGCAATTCTCCTCTATTAACTATCATGGTGTAATTAACAGGTGTAATATGGTGCATTCTTACTTCATCTAAATGATCCTTTCTTCTTTCGATATGCATCTCAAACACTTGCTTTAGAACCCTGAAAAATGTTAAAATGTAACACAAAAACTTAACAAAACAAAGTTACTCTAAAACAACAATTACTGTAAATTAAATTAAATTATCATTACACTGTAACTTTATTTTTCCTTCTTGTTTGTATAAATATTCTTAGTTTAATAATGCAAAGCAAACCTTCAAAATTTAAAAGGCTTGCAAGTACTTTTTTGGCAGGATTTAAAAAACAGCAGGCAGAAATCCGTCTATATTCATAACATACCTATTGCTAAAAATGCCTCTTGCAAGAATGTCTGCGGTAACGTCTGAAATGAATGTAAGGTACTTCTGTTCCTCTTCCCTAACGAAAACACAGATCACAAAAGGAAAGCAATAATAAATTATACTGATTAATTAAATCACTAACTAACAAGCTAATCAAATAATTAATTAACCCATTGACCCTGTGCCACCTGTGATGAGCGTTGGCCCTTGTTCCACTTCTGGCATCAACATCTTTGACCAAAATTGGCATTTGCCTGATTTCTAGGGCTCAATATTTTGTCGCGGTCAATTATTTCAGGTCACGTTCGTCTGGAATATGTCACCAAAATCAATTGACCATGAAGGCCTAAGAGAAAGCCATACAGGAACTAGGCAAAGTTGCCATCATTTATACTCATATTCTGCAGGGGGAAAATATCTTTCCAATACTTCCCAGATCAAAGTGATTGGGTCAAGTGAACCTGAAATATGCACAAAAATGCTCAGAAATTGGAGAGAAAAACTCAAAGCAAAATTTCCCTCCACTACTTTTGGCTACTCTGTGGTGTAAGAATTTTCTGTCTCGATGATGCTTTCTCAGAATTCTTGAACTGGAAGCAAGCCCAGAAGAAGGTCAACAACTGCAGCAAAAGGATTAGAAAAGGAGAAAAATGAAAGGCAAAAAAAAATTTAAAAACTGAAAAGCCTCGATATTTTGATTTCTGCGCATACCTGAACAAGAATGTCCTAAAAAGCAATGCTAGTGGGAAGAAAGGCATGCTGTCATGTTGCAAATGCATTTTTAGTAGATTGGAGCTAATTTGGCTCATATCCAGGCTGAAAATGTCCAAAAAATGCGTGTTTGCCAAAAAGCTCCAGCTGTCAATGAATTAATTAACTAATTTAGTAATTGGGGTAAATTGGGGTTTGATGCACAATTCCAACTGTATATGGTGTAACAAGGCCTAAGTAAGTAAGGCAGGCAGTCAATCAGTCAGCTGAAATGCAAACCTCCATAGGAAAAAATATGGCGAATGGTACATTTACCCATGGTTCTTAGCGCATGAAAACCTTAACAATGTCCATAAAAACGCACAGAAACTTTATACAATCTTCAAACCTAGGCTACTTAATGTCCTTAGTACAAAGACATATATTGTAAAAATTTGGTTTTCTTTGTGCCTTTTAGGCTGTGTTAGGTTCGCAAGGCCTTGTGGTAAAATGTACATCTGCCATCTTTTTTCCTACGGTGGATTGTTTCATGAATAAGATTTCCAGTGATTTCCATTTGCAGTGCCCCAAGTAGAGTAGGCCAGTCCATATCAATCAACTGTATTTTACAGAAATTTAACTTGGAGTTGTTAAAAAAGGACATGAAGTCATTTCTAGGGGAAGGATGTCTCATAGGAGCAATTGGTACAACCCAGGGGTCAGTCCCAAATAGACTGAGACCCTCGTAATAAAAGCTATATTAATTAAACATTAATCACAGTTTGTTTTCTCTGAAACTGATAAAACAAAGACACATGTGACTTAAAGTAGTGAACACGTACATACCAGATGCTAGCTTTGAAGTCAGTTGAATCACTTGCCCTTATTGATGGTGGTCCTCTGTGACTGTACTGCACACCCGTTAGATCAAGAGGTGGAATGCTATAATCATGTCTAATTGACATATTTGAATTTCCAAAGTCTTGCCACACCCCACTTTTAACATCAGTTCTTGTCAATCTTTTGTCATCACTACTGTTTCCTGCAGCTGTTGCTGGGTTTTTCATATCACTAGGTTCATCATAGCTGGTCAACAATGTGCTGACGTTACCATTTAACTTGTCTGAACCAATTGGTTCAGATTTATCAAGAGTTTGCAAGGTTCCCTGATTACCTCCATGTCTTGATATATAATGATTTCTTCTTGTGGTTTTCTGCCTTGGTTCTTTTGTAATGGGTGAAATAGGTGGTCGGGCTAGTATTCGAGCAGATGCTGGTGTAGATCGATCTTGTATCAGCAAATCTCTGGGTGAGGAAGAAGGAACTGCAGGAGGGTAATGCCTGTCAAGGGACTGTGTAGACATGCTTCTTTGAATTGGTGTGCCTGTTGCTTCCCTCTGACCTGAAGACTGCCAGTTTCTTGTTGAATTTAAAAATGAGGTTTCATTATTTGTTGAAGACAAGAATTCCATAGATGGACTCTACAAGAGAAAAAGCCTGTCAGTAATACTCTGTCTCAGAATCAAAATCTATTTCATAACCCCAAAATACTTTAAATTTATTTATGGCTAGAACTCAGTTTGCTTTGTTTTCAGCTACTCATTAATCAAAGTCAACTAAAAAGTCCATTTTATATACAATTCTATGAGACGTAAGTCTTGACAAAGACTGGTGAGAAGGTGAGACTATTTTTTTTTTTTTTTTTTTTTTAGAAGGTAAGACTATTATCTTTTCTGCATGCCCAAGACTTTCCAAGCCTTGCAAAAGAAATTAAGAAGTTAATATGAGACAGCAATCTGAAAATATCTGTAGTGACATCATATGATCATGAAAATGTGACTAAAAACCAGCATAATGCAGGCTGGATTTACTGGCATTTGATAATCTTGAAGGTAATCAAATTTTGTATGTGAATGAAGAAAATAAAGAAATTTTGTTAGAATTTAGGCCCTGCAGTTTTGATGTTATATTGAAAATGCATATTTGCTTCATTCTCTCCCTTTTGCTCTGGTAAAGAAAGTCAAATAATTTTAATTTATTCTCTAGTTAAAATATTTTAGAAAATCTGTCACTACTTTGATGAACATAGCCATTACCATCTCCTTTAGTACTGAAATATTTCCCTGTGCAGTCCTTATCTTGTGTTGTAATATTAATAAAATTGTTGAGCAGACAATCATGTCCTCTTCAGTACAAGCTCAGTCATTAAAGCCCAGGAGAACTCCCATGCAAAAAGGTCAGGGATGCATGCTTCAGTCTCAATTTGGCCATTACTGGGGCAGATCTAGAAGGTTCAGGAAGTCAGTTGAAACCCAAATTTTGAGTTGGCCTCAGCCAATTCCAGACATAGGCTCGATTTCCGGCGCTTTCTCGGGTCTGTTCTACATTCCTCCCCAAGAAGAGACGGCTGGATGCGCGAGCAGCAAAACATGTCTGTGACATAAATGCATAATTTAATTCTTGCAGCCCTTCAGGTGGCCAGAAATGTCATCCGATGACAATCATAGGCAGGCCCACATGACGCCTACGGCTCATAAAATTTGTGGCATTTTTGCCACTTCTTCTTTTTTTAATTTGGGCCCTCCAACCTATTTTGTTTCACATTATTGTTGCAGTAGGGCATTACATGCTGTGTTCCATAGAAAAGTCTTCTTAAGAAAAAAAGTAGAGCAGAGCTGTATGACTATGGTGTAGCAACTGTCATGTCAAAGGTCACACATATGTTGGTTATCTGACATTCTGGTACCACATGATTCAAATATAGATTCTAACACATAAGTCTGTTGACTATTTTGTGTGTTGTATGTGCCACTGTGGTTTAGATCAGGCAAGATTTCATCAGTTGATGGTATTTGGTTACAATAATTAATGTCCCACTAATGCGATCTCACTTCATATCACACAACTTCTTTGCTACTGCGAGAAAGCTAATTTATGCAGCCTGCTCGATTCAGGCAGGCAGATTTCTTATTGGTTGAAATTAACAATGCCAAGTCCACAAGTCTAGCCGTGAGTTCACGGGAGGAGCGCGGGCTCCTTTCTCAAACTTCACTTCACCTATCTTCTTCACGCTCTGTTGTGCATAAGGCCGCTCCTCCTTTCTCGAACAGTGGCTGGAAATTGAGCCTATTCCAGACATCCCATTTCCAAGGACCTCAATTTTAAAAATTTTCCAGGGAAGGATGCCCCCGTTACACCCTCCAGGGGACCACCTTTGACACTCCATATCTCAAACCCCCTTCTCTAAAAACCTGTATCCACCCCAGCCGTAAGAGATACCACTTTAAAACAGAAAAGACGGCCTTTTTTCAATATTTCTTCAAGTGCAACCCTGAAAGATTCCTTGATGGCTAAGAATAGTGATGTTTAGTCCAGTGAACACCCTAAATGAGACCAAGATCTGTGATTTATGAGCGTCCCTGCCCTTTTCACATGGAATTTCCCCACTCCCCCCCTCCCACTCCCCCCCACCCAGTCATTAAAGTTTGTCAACTATTGTAGTAAAAATTCAGGACATTTTTTGTGTCAATAATCAAACATCTCACCCTTGTCCTCAATGACGGAGTTCCAGCTCTACTTTCCAAAGCAGCTCGTTTCTTTTGGTCACGAACTGTAGGAAAGATAAAATTGTTACTTTTATTTTTTGGTAAATTTGTTCTAAAATCTTCATTGATAGGCAATCTCCATAATTCAAGTGTAATTCAAGTCTTTCTCCACTAATGANATCAGTTATGGATGCACTTTGGAAGTTTGGAGAGCACTCAAGAAGCTAGAGTTGCTCTCTGCTTCACCTCAAGCAACTCTCACGCTTTTCTCGTGCTCTTCAAACTTCCTGCATGCATCCATAACTTGATATACACACACTAGGTATGAACCAATTCTTTGATTTTCTTATCAGAAAACCAAGAGAACAAAAGAACACCTTTTGCAGAGGTGATGCGTCTATAGTGAGACTTCATGTGGTTTGCAATGAAATCCTGTCCCATGTATGACATAGCTGTAGGTGCAAGGACTGCAAAAGCAAGAAGCTTATGTTATATTACGTAAAATGTAAGCCATACTCAACTATTTAGAAATTCAATACTGCATTTAAACAAAACCCAGTTACAAATGCAGACATGTCCACCGCATGAAAGTGGGCTAATACTTGGAAATTACTGTTTAAAGGCTAACAATACTGCACTGTGCCTGTGCAACAGGAACACTGTTGTAACTGGAAAACAAATAGAGGGGTTTTCAAATGAGCAATAAGCAAATCAATTTTCAGAAACAGCGTATTAAGCCCAGCTTTTCGTGAAAGATTATGGAGCTAATAGAGCTCGCTCACGTAATCTGGATTCCACCTACAAAAACCTTTGAGCTACTACTTAAAGTGGCAATATATAACGTGGCTTTCATTCTCATAACTAGGTTGCTCTGAACGAAACAAAAGCAGCAACTTTACATCACCTTACGTAAGACATGTGAACTGAATTTTCACTGAGGCTTTTTATAATAAAAGTCGCGTTTAAAATGTTAAAATGTTTAAGATTCCATCTTGTCTTCTGCCGACGATTCCACTCACCGCTACTCTTCAAGGTGAAATGACCACGTTGTAAACGTGTCTGTGAATTACTTCCCAAGCTCATCCCTATTAAACATGCAGCAAACTGTCCTGTGGCATCTTTACGCCTCTAGCCACAAAGCTACCGGAACGAGGAAATCAGTATTTCTTTGCGAAAGGAACATCCCGAGAAGTTAGGATCGCGGGCTCGTGAACGCGGTGTTTTATTTCCAGGGCAACAGGAGCAAAAATAGGTCCGCGTTGCATACTAAAATCGGCGAGAAGAAAGGGGGCTGATGTCGTTTGTTGTTGTTTTCGTTTTGTTTTGTTCTGCTTTGCTTTATTTGTTCACTATATTTTATTCGCAAAAATTGATGTATATCTGCTACAAAAGATAAAGCATAAACGGGCAAGAAATCTTAGACTGAGCTTTTCTAAGAATAACCCCATACGTCAAAGAACTAATTTAAATTTAGCAGATAGACATAGTTTTCGCATGAAACGCCAATCAAGGTTTTTTTTTCCCAGTTTAAGAACTGATTATAATCTAAGAATACATATGACTTCAAATGACGCATGCGAGGAAAGTAAAAAAGAAAGAGGTTTCTTCGCAAATATTCCTCCTACAATCTACTTGCATATTCTTGCCTCTTACACAGAATCTCTTTTCATACAAGCACAAGACGCAAATGAAAGGTAAGAAACTTTACTGACATGAAAGTAGCTTAATAATTTTATGCCGAAAATCTGCTCACGTTTTGAACAAGTCGGTGTCGGTTTTTGAATCCTCACATGAGTTTTTGCTGTTTTTTTTGTTTTTGTTTTTGTTTTGTTTTTTTCACTCATTTTTTTGTTTTTAAGTGGTTGAAAATAGCAGATTTAGAATGATTTTTACCACCAAAATCGGTGAAAGAAATAATAGCCAATGCCATTCTGAAAACTACAAACTGTCTCATTTGACTCAACAACCTAGACTCAAACGAAACATTAAATCGAAAAGGCTTGTAAGTCTTTTAAATGAACAAAAACGCAATTTAATGAAGAAAACACTGGGACAAAGCAAGCAACTATTTATTATCCATGACTGCGAATTTACTTTCTACGGGGCTACAATTCTATTTAATTCAGTCTGCGCATTGCTACAATACAAAAGTTCTTTGTATCATAACTTTAAGGGATTGAAAATCGGGTTTTTACCACTGAAAATCAGTATTCCATTCTCAGTGAATTTTTCCAGTTACTAGAAGGGCAAGAGTTATATACAAAACAACATGTGGTACAAAACTTATGATACAAAG